GACACACTCCAGCACCGTAATATCTTTCTTGTAGTGAGGGTCCTAAAACCAAACACAGTATTTGAGGTGCAGCCCCACCAGTGCCGAGTACAGGGGGACAATCACTTCCCTGGTCCTGCTGGCCACACTATTCCTGATACAAGCCAGGATGCTGTTGGCCTTCTTGGCCACCTGGGCACACTGCTGGCTCATGTTCAGCCGGCTGTTGACCAACACCCCCAGGTCCTTTCCCACCAGGCAGCTTTCCAGCCACGCTGCCCCAAGCCTGTAGCGTTGCAGGGGGTTGTTGTGACCCAAGTGCAGGTCCTGGCACTGAGCCTCGCTGAACATCATCCAACTGTCCTCAGCCCCTCGACCCAGCCTGTCCAGATCCCTCTGCAGAGCCTTCCTACCCTCAAGCAGATCAACACTCCTGCCCAGCTTGGTTTCACCTGCAAACTTACTGAGGGTGCACTTGATGCCCTCGTCCAGATCAGTGATAAAGATACTAGACAGAACTCGCCCCAATACTGAGCCCTGGGGAATACCACCCGTGACTGGCCACCAAATTGATTTAACTCCACTCACCACCATGGTTTGGGCTGAGCCATCCAGGCAGGTTTTCTACGCAGCAAAGAGTACACCCATCCAAGCAATGAGCAGCCGGTTTCTCCAGGAGAATGCTGTGGGAAACAGTGTCAAAAGCTTTATTAAAGGAAAGCTCTGTTTACTGTGTTTACTTAAAATGAAACTTAGTATGTGGTATGGCAATTGTTCTCACTCAAATTTTGAGTCATCCACTGTGGAATTAGAAAATTTATGTAAGACTAAAGAAAGCACAGGGATTAAAAAATAGGAATAGCTGTTCAACATACTAGCTATTCCTGGTACCTCTTGAAATACGTATTTGCTTTTTGAAATTTTTGGCTTTTGCAATACCTACTGATTGAGGATTATTCAAATTTTTCTGAATGGGTGGATGATGGGAATATATAGAAAAGCTCACGTTTATGCTGTAGAGTGAGGCACTGAAAAACAGTGAGGGACTTGGCTGAATTCTTAAATCTTCAGTTTTTTGGAGTTTCTAAGGAGGCTAAGAGGACTCTTGGATCTCCATATTATAAACCTCTGACTTTATTATAAATGTGACAAAGAAAAAAGAAATAATGTAAGTAGTTAAGACAACTTCTTTATTTAATAGTATAGAAGTAATTGGTAATCTTTTGTTCCCTGTAAAACAACTAATGGTATACAATTTTAGAAAATAATATCTTTTTATCAATTTGTTGCTCTTGAAATAAGTATTGATAACAAAGAGTAAAACCTAGCATAGTTATGGTATGCTTTGATTATTGCCTCAACAGGATGTTATACAACTTTGCTTCCACTATTAACTGCAACTGTATATTCTTCAGAGAATTAATACTGGTCTTAATTTTGGGAAATTGCCATTGTAAATGGAAAGGAATTCTTTCCAATTTTATTTTTTGTTTTAATCTTGGTGTAATAAAATAGTCTTCCATAAAAGTATTGCTAGTGGTTTCTGTTTTCTTGCTTTTTTTAAAGAGACTTGTAGAATTTAATTGTATTTTTATTTGGACTTTTGCTCATATAATGTTTCAAGTAGCATGATATCAAGGAAAGTTAGCATACTTTAATTGATTGTAAGTATTTTATTGATGTAAAATTTTCTACATATTAAGATATAGTGTTTTATCAGTTCTATAATTTGCTTTAAAGTGTTTAATGGGGTAAATTATGGGACGTTTTTCCATTCTGATAAAGACAGTATTTTGTGACCTTTTGACAAATTAAGATGGCATGAGAATATAATTACAAGAACATTTTATTTCTGTAATATGTAACTTTCTGATACTTTTTCTGTTAGTCTTGCCAGAGTTCTGTAGTGATAGACCTTTGTCTCATGATTTTTCTTTGTTATACTGGATTAAAATTGAAAAACAATTTAATGACTTTTCACAACTGTGGTTTTCATATTTGCTGTATTACAGAACAGTGTGGACTACATAGCTGTGTATTTCAAATTAGGGACTTTAGACTTTTTCTGTTATAAAGATAGCAAAAGTATAGTTTTACAGAAACTATTCAATTTTGGCTGAAAAGGAGCAAACAGCTAAAGGTAAGAAATAACACTTTCAGCTGAAACATTTCCACTGAAGAGTCTTTAAAAAAAATGGTGTTTTGTCAAATTCAGTGGTGGTATTCTTCATTTTGTACACTAATAGCATATGGTAAAATGATACTCTTATATGTACAGATGAATTACGTAACTTCATAAACACCTTCTACGTCTGAAACCTTAGAGTTCCACCTACTCTCCAGGGTGAATCCCTTGAATACCACTGAGTTCCTGCAAAAGTATTTTCTGCAAAGAAGACAGAGTTATAAAGCATCAAGAATGCATAAATTAGCATTCTGAGATTCTGTATTTAAAGCAGGTGTCACTGTAGGTTTGCAGATGTTTCTTAAACCAGTAAATAAAGCAATAAAACGGTTGGCATTCTATTTCAGAATCATTTGTAAAGTTATACGTTTCTCCTTAGGCTAGTCAGTATTCCCATATAAATAAGTATGGTGCTTTAACTGAATACTTTAAATTAAATACTTTAAGTACTGAAGCAACGTAATTGATTTCTTCTAAGCCTGACAGTCTGTGTACAAGCTGGACTCTGTCATTTTGACAAGAGCCTGAAAGCCTGTGAATAATTAAATCCAAACAAATATCTTTTTTACCTTTTTTTTCTTACTGAAATTGTGAAAACTGTTTTTTGAGTTTTACTTTGTGTACAAACTGTGTTGCTTAGTAGGCATTACTCTGATTTAATATTTAATTAATAATGGATGATGGTTTATTTCTAATAGTGTAGCGTATAGCAAAAGAAAGAGTTTGAACTTTGTTTCAGTCTTGGTCCTTAGCCAGTAGAGATCTGGGAGGGGGGGAGGAGTTATTAAAAAAAAAAAAAAAAAAAAAAAGGGAAAACCCAAAGAATAGACCAGCCTTCTCTATTCCCACAAATTAGTCGTAAATATATATCATAAAATGTCTGTATTACTCTGCAGTCCAGCAAACATAGACAAATCTTTTCAGCACCTGCTAGAAATGCAGTGTTACATCTAATCAGCTGACAGTAATAATGAAGATGGTCCATGCGTATTTACTTTTAATTTTCAAAAAGTTTAGATTAGTCACAGATATGATTTTTTTTTTTTAATACACTGAAAAGTCCCACTGTGTTCCACTTGGAACTATTGGGTTTTTTTCATTATTTCCATTTTTGTTAATTTCTGTTTTTTCCATAGTTGCATTGCTTTGAGTTTTGTGAAAGTCTGCACCTAAAGGGAAATAGAGACTCTTTTCCATGTGCTGTCCTCCAAACCCTCCCTCAGAGCTTCTGCAACGTGGCCTCAATGGCTATCTGCTTTGCTTACCCATTTCTTTTATTACACACTGGACCCTCAGTTAAGCTATCTCTGGTGCATTAACAGAGAAGGTGAATTTTGGCCCATAGAAAAAAATAATTTTACATTTTCTACAATTTCTATGAGGCCTGCAACAGTTACCAGGTTTATTTCTCCAATTTTCACGCATGTATTTTTAAAGGACTGTTGAGCTTCTCGCTACATAAAAAACAAACAAACAAACAAACAAACAAACCAAAACCAATCCCAAGCCTTTTTGTTTTCCGAAGAAGTAATGTTTCTGAATAGCTATAAAGAAAACAAATATGCTATGTTTTTACTCTTTAAAAAGAAAAATAAACTTCATCCTATGGAATTCTGATTATAGCTTCCTGTTTATGCTAAATGTGCATGCACTAAGTAAGCTTGGTGGTAGTCTTAATAGAAAGGTGTGTCACAAATCCCTGCTTCGTTCCACAGGTGCACCACTAGTGTTTCTGCTGCTTCCATTTCTGAATATCTAGCACAGAAGCATACCAATTGCAAAGGCCACTATCTGACTTCTGAAATACTCTTGGTCTCTCTCTTGATCTCGCCTCCATTTAACATTGTGGGATTATTTTTACTGGATGTTTTCTAATTTTCTGAAAATGTTACATTTTTGTATGGTTCATTTTCAAGAATCTTATGTTTGACACTTAGTTTTCCTGAACTGTAGAAACAGAATACTCGGCTAAATAATGTTATTATTTATTTCACGAGTGGCTTTGGGATGCTGGGACTTCAGTTTTAGGACAGCAGCTTTGGTAGAGGAAGTTGTTTCCTGAGCTGATAACTTACGAAGATAAGCTGTTCTGGAGGTGATAGAGGTGTTGTAAGAAGTGGTTCCTGGCTTTTCCTGAACAGCTGTGCAATGTGGAGAGAAGGAGGCTGGGGGGCGACCGCATTGCTCTCTGCAGCTCCCTGAGGAGGGGATGTGGAGAGGGGGGTGCTGAGCTCTTCTCCCTGGGACCCAGTGCCAGGGCACGTGGGGATGGCTCAAAGCTGCACCAGGGGAGGTTCAGACTGGACATCAGGCAGCATGTCCTTACCCTGAGGGTGGCCAGACACTGGAACAGGCTTCCTGGAGAGGTGGTCCATGCCCCGAGCCTCTCAGGGCTTAAGAGGCATTTGGACGATGCCCTTAACAACATGCTTTAACTTTTGTGCAGTCCTGAAGTGGTCAGGGAGCTGGACTAGATGATCATTGTAGGTCCCTTCCAACCAAAATAGTCTATTTTTTGCTATTAATAGCAACCAATACATCCCTGCGTCTGTTGGAGTGTAATGCCTGTATTGCTTCCTTTTATTATGCTCTCAGGAAACACTATGTATCTATTACCACATCTTTAAAGAGATTATCTCGGTCCTCTTTAGGCCCTTTTGTGATTATAGTACTGAATTTATGAATTTTTGTAAATGTATTGCATACATTTAGGATAACTATCATTGAGAAAGCAGTGTGGTCATGGTAAAATTTTAGTAGGAAGGAAAGGGATGACCTGTATTACATTTGTGAAGTATTTTTAATATTTATACTTACATATTTTCCTTTTAAAAAGGAAATTGTCAAGGAAGCATTAATGGAGGAGCAGAAACGAAGTGAAAAGGCAATCAAAGAAGCAGTGAAAAGGACAAGAGACGAACTGATGGAATATATTAAAGAGCAGAAAAGGGTGAGTTACCAGTGGCTAATGGGTTTCACTTCCTGCAGTGAGAAATTGGTGGTTTATTAATCCTGAAAGCTGTCTTCAAATGTGTAAAAAAACAGAATCAGAAGTTACATCTTGAGATTTGTCATTCCTTTTTTCAAACAATTTGTTACTGTGATATATTTCTTCATATATATTTATAGAATTTTAAGTTCATCACAAACCGAAAAGTGGAACTTCATACACTGGTTGAAATTTACAGTATTTCTTATTACAGTAACTTAAAGGTGGTGCATAAATGCAATCTGTCAAATTCAAATTGTGATCTGAATTCAGTTCATTGAAAGCATTCCAGTATCAATAACAGATGCTATTTTATGTTCACAAATGAACTTTATTGTGCAGTTTGCATGCACACAAAGGTCATTTAACTTTTTCTCTCAAACAGTATTATATGACAGCCTGAAAATGTGTTGGTATTCTGTTGAGCATGATTTATAGTCAGTGAACTGGACTTATTATGAAATGTTGTAATGTTCTGAAACTTGGTTTCAGATGTTCTGTTAATGCTGTAAACTTGCAGTTTAATGTTTGTGTATAAACAGTAAAATGTAACTTAAAAGGCAGCTTGGTTGGCTTTCAGTAGGAGGAGAAAAAATGAACACACTTCTCCCCTTTAAGGCTCTTTATAAAAATAAAATCAAGAAAACAAACAAACAAACAAACAAACAAACAAAAAACCCTCTTTCATATGTTAGTAGAAGCCCGTGATCAAATTTAGTGATTTCAGTAGTCTTAATAAACGAAATCACAAAGTTTGAATCTAATTGGTAATGTCCTGAGAAGGAAGTATAAATAGCGTGTTTGGCCTCTTCTATTCCCTGCTTTTTTGGGCTGAATAGTATTATAGGAAATAGGATTTCTATTCTACTACTAGTTTAGCATTGGATGAGCTGTATTCCATTATGCTGTACATGGAAAAGTTTCCATTTAGCAGTATGGGTCTTACTGGCAAAGACTTTTAAACAGGAATCCAGGGCAAAACATGATCCATAAGGATTTTTGAGCTTGTTTATATCTGAAGTTAATCAATTACAAAGGATAAGGTGTGAGGAAAGTGAAAATAGTTTTACTATTAAAATAGCTTGTATCATAAATAAATGAGTCAATAAGACCACTAGTACAGATCATTTTCTTCATCTATTGTAGACTCCTCACTGTTGACAGCTAGATCATGACGTTTTGAATTGACAGTGATTTCATATAGACACTTAAATAGCAACTCATCTGTCCTTAATATCTTAGATTTCCACTTTTGTCAGGAATGGAGACTTTCTTCCATTTTTTTTCCATTTACACACACAGTTGGAGCTTACTGCCATCATTCCCATTTCTGACCACAGTTAATTTCTCTTGTCCTTGTGAAGTTTTCACAAATCAGTGAAACAATGAAAATACCTTCAAAGAAACAAAATCCTCTTTGGTTTATCTAGTAGGAGCTTCATTTCGATTCATTTCATTGAGTTCTTGAATACTAAAGTATTTCAGTCAACTTTTTTCCCATATTGATCAATTGACAAATCTCCATTTAAAAAAAAAAAAAAATATGTAAGGACAGCTAGCTTTTTCTGCCATAAATTTATAAAGTTTGTCTGTATAGAAGTTGGGAATGGAAGCTGGTTTTGACTCCAAATGATTTGGCATAATAGCTTTTATATGATTACATAAGAGGCAGAGTAAATGGACCTTGGTCAAATCCCATGCACATGTCAGAGTAATAAATATACTTTATAGACTATAATAAAAAGTGGCAGCTTCTGCAAGGACTTCCTAGAAGGAACTCAGGGAAAATGCCTCAATTTCCTGCCTGAGATTCAGTGATTTTTATTTTTTTTTTGAGTGTCAGGGAGAGTTCCAGTTACGCACTTGCACAGGTAGTGTACACCATGTATGCTTCATCACTATTTTGTAAATAAGTTTGTAGAATCCTTCAAACCACGGGACATGGGCACAACAGTATTTGTACTTGGTTAGCAGCGAGGTTAGTTAGTTAGGAGAAGACTCATAAACAGATTCTTATCCAGCTTACTTTGTAATAGTACAAAGTGCATTTCATCCCTTGTGGCAAATATAGTACATACCAGTTTTCAAAGTAGTTTGTAACTTGCTTAGTCATTTATTCCATTAAAGCTTTCTTTTAGTGCAAGTATAATAGTTGTGATGTCAGTTTAAGAAAATCAGTTGCATATTTGGCCCTTTTCATATTTGTTACAAATATTTAAAAATATTAATGAGCATTTACAGTTGCATTTGCTCTTGGAATCTTAGAAGAGTTTCTGTAACAGTTTATAAAAGTTGGATCTGGCAATCCCATAAGTTTTGCAGTACGTTATGAATGTGGTCCAGTATTATACTGTACTATATATAATAGAAAATATTTACTTTGAGTTAGAAAGAATTGATTGTGAATGAGTTTTTTAAAGTAGATTGATTTGATAATTATTTTTAGAAATAATTTGTGTCAACATAACATATACAGTGAAATTAAACCATAGAAATCTCCTGTTGTGGTTCCAAAACTAACTTCAGTTATATGCTAGTGCTAAAATATTGGTTGCTTTTGACAGCCAAAACACCATATGATTTGTTTCTGACCAACTACAAATCCAGCATACCAGTGACCTGTGTACTGTTTAACAGTCAGTATACGGGACATACGCATGGGATTATTAGAATTTTAAAAAGTTACTTAGCAAAAAGCAAGTAATTGATGTTCCTTTGTCCTTACACAGCACTTTTCAACCCATTTCTTTCCTCATCTGTAATCTTTCAGTGGGAATTATTTAGAGCTGAGGAGACTAAATGTCCTGCCTTTAACAAAATTCTTATCTAAATAATTTGATGTTGCATGCATAAAATATTTCCATAACTAGGGTGTTTCTAGATCCACCATATTTCAAAGCCTTTCACAGATGAATAACACAGAGTTAATTTTACGTTTGACATTGTTACCCACAACTGAGTCACATTCAGTATGAGTGAAACAACAGATGATTTACAGTCTTTGCTACTATTTTCTCATGTGCAAATGAGCAAACTTCAATGCATTTTTTTTAATACTAAGAATGAGAGGTTGGTAAGAGTAAAATTAAGAGAAAGTGGGAAGTAATGTAACAATATCATCATGCTAAAATGCGCAACATAAGACAGGAACAAACATAACTTGCTCTGTATTCAAGCCAAACAAAGTCTCTGAAGCTAGTGGAGAATCTGTTGGCAATTCTTCACCTTTGATTAAAAGACAATGCAAGCTAAAAAAAAAAAAAAAAAAAATTTGTGGTGGCAACATGTATTTTCACGCAATAAATGAAAAATGGGCAGTGCATTGTTGTTATGCCTTTTTCTTACTTCAAATATAATCCCGAGTTTTTAAAGATATATAGCACTATATTGGCAGCAGTTCAATTTATATACTGTAATCTTAATTTTATTGTCTCAATTCTTTATTAAATGAAAAATGTAATACTAGAATTTTTTGGAACTTTACTTTGTATTCACAGTGTGGAACTACACTTTTTTCTTTTTATGCAGTTGAGTTTAGTGCCTGCTGTTCTATGAAGACAATTCCTGAAAGATACTTACATTTTATGACTGTCTGAGATTATTTTTTTAATTAATTTGTAGATAAAAAGCAAGAAAAGCAACTGAATAAGACCAGTTTTAAAATCATTCAGAACGTCTGAAAATATTGAATTCAATGAATTTTGGTCCATTAAGTGTTTGCAAATGAAATACTTGAGATCTTCAATGCCAACAACTAAGTGGGCACTATTTTTGACGTTTTTAAAAAATACTTTAGCTAGGTAGTCACACAACGTTTTGTGTTTCTAGCGCTGAAATGGTGCATGGATTCAACTGCATTCCAGCAGTAAAACATACTGGGAAGTAAATATTTCCATATGAATTATAGAATAGAATATTTCAGTTGGAAGGGTCCTCCAATGATCATTTAGTCCAACTGCCTGTACATTCCTTTACTAATTTCTGTGAGGCTTTATACACCATAACTACATAGAGAATAAAGAAAAAGATCGGCATTTGGTGTATTATTAATATTTATACTTAATTAGCTTCAGTGTATTTTTTGTTTTTCTTTCCTGTTGGTTGCATATACTACTGTCGTTAAACTTACTGTGAGCCAAAGTTCTGCTGTACAGTAGCTAGGGAAAAAACTCAAGCTATATTCCCCTGCAATTAATATGAAAGAAAAGTAAATGATCTGTTACCGTTTGGTCTAGTTGTCCAAATGGACTATGCAGTGGAAAATATCCTCGTAGAACTGATCCTGCAAAAACATGTTTGCATACTTTATTTTACGCACTGCAATTGATCCTGTTTACTTCAGATGGCATGAACTGTAAAGTTTTGCCATAAAATTTATTTCAGAGTCAGACAAAGAAAATCTTGGAAGTCGTCTCACACTCAGTTCACTGCTATGTATTTAATGTTTAAATTGCTACTTTCAGTTCAAGTCTCAAACTACAGATGTAAACTTGGTGGGTTCCGGGAAAAGACCAGTTACAGTTTTGTATACAGGTATGTTAGAATTATTGTTAAGTTTATTAATTTTAAGGAGGGTGTCAATTTTAAGATTGACAACTGAAATGCAAGCAGGCTCCATTTTTCTGGCAGTATTGTGTATTTAAAAAACAAACAAAATAAGACCAATTCAGTTGTTTCTCAAAGTTATAAAGCACCAAATAAGTCCAGTAGAAAAATCTCTGGTAAAACTATTGCCAGTATAAGTCTACTAATTTTTTTTTCATTACACATTCTGGATGAAGATTAGTAAACTTAAAATCTTGTAGGGGAGTGGAGGAACAGTAGGAAATATGAAGTTTGATTTTTAAGGTCAAATTCAAACCATCTTTATTCTGACATTATAAAGTACATGTTCTGGAACAGTCTAACCTGTTGCATCTCAGGTTTCAAAAGAGAACTTAAAGTTTCTATCACAGTCTCTC